AACCAAAAGACGGAACCCTAGCGCCCAAAATCCAACTTTTAAGCGAGACACGAGTGGTAACCCACCGGAAGAACAGATCAAAACTAGAAAAGGATGAGATTTCTCGGTGACACGAAGGAGAAGGGGATGCCTTATCGCGGCCTTCTCGATTTCAACCAAGCTTGTCTTCGTCTGCGGAGAGGCGGAGAGGCTTCTCGCTTCATTCCCTATTCTGACGCCGTTCTTATGGTCCAGAAATATTCAACTACCCGTTTCGACGCCACTCTCGACGTCACCGCCTTCTGATTCGAGATGCACCATGGGCCCCACGGATACCAAAAGAAGGTTGAGTAAGTGGGTATCGAAAGCCTGGTAGGGAAAAAGACTTCTCACTTTCAAAGGTTGGGGATGTGGACGGCACATATTTCGTCGACGTCCGTCGCGGCGTGGAACACAATGGAGAAGCGGGTTAGCACTGTAGTCGAATATCCTGTGAGATCTTAACCGTCCGTTACAGATCTGATTTCGATTGAAGGTCAGCGTGGGGTCAAGATCTCTTCTGAGACGACTGGAGATGTCCAGTACTGCGGAGGATTTCGGAGTCAATTAATTATCCAGTTATAAGGGCCCGTCGGAGTCGGGCAGGAGCACGAAGACAGGCGCGTAATTAGGTCGGGACCGGATATGTGCACCTCAAAAAAGAAATCTTTTAGATTCGTGCAGATCAAGTGGATGGCCACAAACCAATATTATAAATATTCCTATTATTTGTAGTGGGAATTATGATTTCTTTTTTATGATTTGAGTTCCCAAAGTTATAGCAATATTAAAAACTAAAATCATAATGCAAGCTTCTCTAAAGAAAAAAAAACCTGTAAAATTAGAGGATCAAAAGATGCATCAGAAATTCTAGCCCACAAAAAAAAAGAAAGAATTTAAGAAAAAAGATCACCTAAAAGCATAGCCTTATATGATAATTAGAGATTGTGCATATTGTTTTAGACACCACTTAAGACATGCATAAACATAAGCTTTGGAGGTGATTGGATTAATTGGAGTAAGCTTTGGTGTTTATCAGTGATTGTGTGGCAAATATAGTTTACTTTTGTTCTGACTAAATATGCACATGACAACAGAGCTCGAGCATCATACTTTATAAAAAGAACAAAAGAACATTGAGCCACATAAACAATAGACATGGATTATAGCAACAAAATGAATTCTTGTGATTTGTTCCTTGCTGTCATTACAAATTCACAATGTACTTTGATAGTTCATTTTTTGTCATTCAACACCAAAATCACACATCTGAGACTGATAAGTGTGTGGGTATATATATATATATATATATATATATATATATATATATATATATATATATATATATATATATATATATATAT